ATCTGGGTAAGTGAATCAGGTGGATGAGATCTTTAATTAGACGAACTGCATGGCTGGGATAAAGTTAGACAAGCTTTTGAATGAAAAGCATTTTTCATCAGGCAAGTGACTCTGAACAGTTGATTATCATTTTCTGAACAAGCTGGAGTTTCTGCAATTAAATGCATCTCTCTTTTATTTTTTGTCAAAATTGAACACTGCATTTAACCTTCATTTGATACCTCCCTACAGAAGTACCACGAAGTGAATGGAAACCTTTCTTACTAACAGAGATAGGGGCAAATCAAGGGGGAGTACAATGGTGTGGTTGCATTGTCTACCCCCTCCTTTCTGACCATGTCATGAGAGCACTAGCCAGGGACGTTTTGAAGCTTTCCCCACCCCGCTCCTCCTCTGTGCTCAGCAGCAAATCCCCTTTACTCTCATTCCCCACTCCCCTTCCTGCCACTGCCACTGCCCACAACTGACCTGGGGACTGGGGGAGCTCCAGAGCTGCTCATGCCCCACTCCCAGTGCGCAGCTCAGGAAACCAGGGTCATTTGGGGACAGTGATTAGTGGCAGCAAAGGGCGAGTTCTCCTTCCCTGCCCAATCCCTTCTTGTGTTCCTCACCAGCCTAGGTGCAGGCTCGGTAAAAGAGAATCCACCTGCTGCTGCTGTTGCTACTATCCTTGGCTGATTCCCCAATTCCCTCTGAAGCCCAGATGGAGCAGGGCAGGAGAAACTCTGGAGCTCTGCCCACCCTTGTGTCACCTGGGTAGCAGGGAATAGGAGGGGTGGAGACATGCTGCTGAGCACAGATGGGAAGGGAAGGGAAGGGGTGCCAAGCGTAGGAGAGATTCTTACCTGATTCAGGGACTTAGAAGTTGTCCCAGGCTGCTGCTCCCACAGTGTGGTCTACCTGCCTCAGTTATGGGGGTTGTGGAGGCTGGCATAGGGGGAAATGAAATTGAGTTAATGTTCCTGAACTCCAGTTATTTTTCTGCAGGCTCAGTGGAGATTAGGTGTAATCCAAAGAGCCAAAAAGATGTTGAGAAGTCTGGTTTTGTTCTGATTGTTTTTCCTTTCTGCCTAAAGGCTGACTGTTTCGATGGGACAGGACAATGAAAGTTTTGCCAACGAGTTCATCTTCCTGGGCCTTTCTAGCCATCGGGATACCCAACTGGGTCTCTTTGTGCTTTTTCTTGGAATCTATGTCATCACAGTGGTGGGGAATACCCTCATTATTACTGCCATCCACTTGGAACCACGGTTCAACACACCCATGTATTTTTTCCTTGAAAACCTGTCCTTTCTAGACATCTGTTATACAACGACTGGAGCACCACAGGTACTGGCCCATTTCTTCGTGCAGCACAAAACCATCTCCTTCAACAGATGCATGGCTCAGCTCTTCATCTCTCTGTCTCTGGGAGGGACTGAGTTTCTTCTCCTGGCTGCAATGGCCTATGACCGCTACGTGGCCATTTGCAACCCCCTCCAGTACATGGTCATCATGAGGAGAAGCATCTGCATCCTGCTAGCAGCAGCTTCGTGGACTGTTGGCATCCTTAATGCTCTAGTGCACACCATCTTCACTGCACGCCTGCGGTACTGTGGCCACCCTCTCATTAACCATGTCTCCTGTGAACTTATTGCTCTCATCAAGGTGGCCTGCTCTGACACCCACACCAATGAGATTGCAATCCTGATCCTTAACTTTGTTGTGCTCCTGGGCCCCTGCTTCCTGGTCTTGGTCTCTTACATTTACATCATCTCCTCCATCCTACAAATTCATTCTTCACAAGGAAGACACAAGGCCTTCTCCACCTGTGCCTCTCATCTCACCGTAGTGATCATGGCTTATGGAACAGCCATCTTTGCATACTCAAAACCAAAAGGAGGCAAGTCATCACACAACCTGAACAAGATGATTGCTCTCTTCTATGGCTTTATCACTCCTATGCTTAATCCCATCATATACAGCCTGAGGAATAAAGATGTGAAAGATTTTCTGGCAAAAGCCATGAGGAAAGATCACCTCTGAGAAACTGTGAATCTTAGGTTTTTAATGGTAGCCAATGATTGTCCACGGTTCTAATGTTATTGTCCTTTTCAGAGACGGTTCTTATCTTAGTCTGGGCATCCATAACATTTGTATAGCCTACAGTTATGTAGTATAACAGCAGCAAAGCTTGCCTGGCTGCAAGCCAAGTGGGTGAGCTGTGCTTAAGTGCTCTGCAAGAAAAGGATGTGAAAACTTTGCAAAGGGTGCATAAGCTTTACCAGACAGGAAGGTATCCAGTGCATGGTGCATGCTTTTATTGGAGCATTTAAAATTGTGACCAGAGCCCACATTGCAAACCAGGGGCTCTGATTGGTTGCTAAGCCATAAAAGCTGAGGGAGGGAAAAGGAAAAAAAAAAAAAGGAAAAAGAAGAAGAGAAGCTGGGAGGAGTGGACTCCAGCCCTGAAGAGACGGGGTGCAAACTCATCCCAAGCCAGGGGAGCCCAAGCTTTAACTTGCCCAGGGAGCAGGCATCAGGACGGGGGAGAGCTTGACTTTTACAGCACAAAGGAAGGAGGAAAGCAAAGGAACCTTTAAAATGTTCGGCACATGCCATGATCTGACCTAGGGATGCACAGAGAGGGGTCTGCGAAGCTTTACAAGGTTACCTTGTCTCAGTTCACCAAATGTACCCTCTTCGACCACAATGTCTACACGCTCCCTTTTCCCAGGACCGCACTTTTCCACATTGTTCTTGGCTGCCTTGCCACACAGCCCTGTGAGAGGGATCGATGGCCACTTTCACAAGCCTTCCAATAGAGGGACTTGGAAGTGGTGAGAAGCTGATTCCTCACTGGGTTTGGAGCTGTGCAGCCAGGGACACAAGTGCCAAGGAAGAAGTGGGGAGGAATGGTAGCCAATGATTGTCCACGGTTCTAATGTTATTGTCCTTTTCAGAGACGGTTCTTATCTTAGTCTGGGCATCCATAACATTTGTATAGCCTACAGTTATGTAGTAGAGGCTGGGGTGAAATCTGCTGTGTTGGGAGGGGGAGACAGCCCTGAGAGGTAGTAAGCTGAGAGAAAACGAACCAAGCTTGGGTCTGTGAGGGGACACCTAATCACTAGTGTTTTCAGTAAGTGTATTTTCAGAAGGAAAATGCTTAAGAGAGCAATCTGCCAAGAAAGGAAACAACAGGGAGCCTATTGCCTGTAGCAGCTGTTCAGATCCTGTTTCCCTGTGTTACTAGGAATGATTAATGGGACTTTGCTGTCTGTGACTCCCAGCAGATGTCCGGGTAGTTTAGGTCCCCCATGACTACTGCCTCTTTAGCTTTTATGGTCTCCGAGAGTTGCCTCAGGAGCCCCGAATCTCTTTCTTCCCCTTGATGTGGGGGTCTGTAGCAGACCCCTACCACCAAATCCCTTTCTCCTTGCCCCCCATGTAGCCTAACCCACAATCCTTCTACTTCCTCATCCTTGGATTCCGTCTTGATAAGGGTCGATGTATATTGCTCCTTGACATAGAGCGCAACCCCTCCCC